GATATCTACAAGTTTGCCTCCAGAAAGGAAAAAGAAAAAAGATGAAATGCCACACCCACATAGGCAGACTGAAGTATTGAACCTAGATGATCTGCTGGGCGGTTCAGCATTAGGGGCCACCCCAAGTGCATGAGGACACATAAGACTAAGCAGCAGTTTATGAGCAAGGTCAAGGCCAGCCGGAACCCATCAGATCACCTCCACTCTTTGCTTTACAAATAAGAAAAACAAGACCCAGGAGAGGAGAAAGACTAAGTCATCCAAGGTCAGCAGCCGAGATGCCTGGATAACATCTAACCCAGAGCTGGGACCTACATTGCCCAAACCCCAGGCCAATGAGCTCTCGATAGTACAACCCCCACCCTCACCTACCCTCACAAGCTTCTTCACAAAATAGCCACACAACAGGTGGATTTCATTTCCCTAGTGCATGTGACAGTACCCACACAGGCCCAAAAATGATTCCAGAGGAATTTCCTTAGGGAGTTCTACAGAGAACCCAGAATGGGACTTGGAATCCAACTAAATTCCTTCTTGGGTATTTCAGCTAATGGGAATGGAGCCCAGAAATCACTGGTGTTTTCTGTTTGGGGTGATTTTTAAATAGCTATCTTTGAAGAATGAAGAGTGGCTGGCTACCATGCCACTGGAAAAATGAAGTCACTGCTGAAATAAATTTTAAAGGAAGGAAAGAAATGACTCCACATATATTAAAATAAACATAAATAGTTCTTAGCCTTTGGCTGGAAACTTAACCCTTACCTTCCTTTTTTTTTTCTTTCTTTCTTTCCCACCTAATGCATTTATCGACAGAGCTGCAATCCAAAGACAAAGAGCCCCCTAGGACTCGAAGGAGAGGCTGCCAGCTGAAACAGGAAAGGGAAGAAGGAAGAGAATGGGCATATGCTCTGTATCAGGCAGTGTTATCAACAGTGCATCATTCATTTTTTATGATAGCCCGACAAGGCACAGGTATTATTACCATTTTGATGAGAAGGAAAATGGGACTCAAGGAGTTTAAGTTATTTTCCTAAGGCCATAGTGCTCATAAGAATCAGGATTCAAAGGGCTGGCAGGATACATTCAGGGTCCTAAATGAGAAGAACCTGCAACTAAGAATACTTTATGCAGCAAGGCTCTCATTCAGAATAGAAGGAGAGATAAATATAGGCAGGAACTGAAAGAATATGTGACCACCAAACCAGCTCTGCAAGAAATATTAAGGGGGACTCTGTAAAAGAAAGAGGAAGTCCAAGAAAACAATCCACAAAAACAGGGACTAAATAGGTATCATGATGACACTAAATTCATATCTTTCAATAGTAACTCTGAACGTGAACGGGCTTAATGACCCCATCAAAAGGTGCAGGGTTTCAGACAGTAAAAAAAGGCAAGACCCATCTATTTGCTGTCTACAAGAGACTCATTTTAGACGTAAGGACACCTACACCCTGAAAATAAAAGGTTGGAGAGCCATTTAACATTCAAATGGTCCTCAAAAGAAAGCAGGAGTAGCCATCCTTATATCAGATAAATTAAAGTTTATCCCAAAGACTGTAGTAAGAGATGAAGAGGGACACTATATCATACTTAAAGGATCTATCCAACAAGAGGGCCTAACAATCATGAATATTTATGCCCTGAATGTGGGAGCTGCCAAGTATAAGAATCAGGATTCAAATGTTTCTTAATCCCAAATTACATCATCTTCCCCTACTCCATGTCATATAATGCTGGTCAAGTTTCCTTCTTTCTCTAGGCTTCAGTTCCTTACCTATGACATAAAGGCCCTATATCAAATCTGTCTTACAGCTCTGAGTCTATGGGCTCAGTATGTTAGAAAATTGTCCTGAGGGCGGCCCCCGTGGCGCAGCGGTTTGGCGCCTCCTGTAGCACGGGGTGTGATCCTGGAGACCCGGGATCGAGTCCAGCGTCTGGCTTCCTGCATGGGGCCTGCTTCTCCCTCTGCCTGTGTCTCTGCCTCTCTCTCTCTCTCTCTCTCTCTCTCTCTCTGAATAAATAAAGCTTAAAAAAAAATTACTTTAAAAAAAAAAAGAAAAAAAGAAAATTGTCCTGAATTGATGATTTTCTTGGTTCTCAGGGCTGCTGACCTCCAAGAAGCATTCCTCCACAGGGCTGGCCCTGTCCCAATGAGTCTGAGGGAAATGATCAAGACTGCACTGTCTGCTGACCCCACATGGAAGATTTCAGCCCCTGGAACCACAAGTCAAGGCCTATAGTTCTGTTCTTGGCTTGAACATCAAGACCAGCCCCCAGAACTTCCAGTGGGAGAGTTCTGGGATCCTGAAATGTCTCCAAGAAGTTTACTTATAATACCTAGGGCACATTGAACAAGTTCATCATGTGGCATGGGTCAAGATGTGCAAAGGAAGGACTGTCCCAGAGAAGTCTTTGCCAAGACAGGGTTAAGCTAGTGAGCAAACCTAGAATCCCCCTATCTGTAGCAAGTATAAGAACAATATGGGAGACAGTGGAGGCCTCTGCAGGTTGTAGACATCTTCCTATAGCAGAGGAAGAGGTCTGGCCTAAAACCAGGTGAGGGTCTGACTCCTTGCTCTGTTACTAGATGGCAATGGGACCCAAGGTAAGTTGCTTACACACTGTGGCCACATGCTGGGGCAGGGGTGGTGGTGGAGGGGGCTTATAGTCAAAAGCAAGTAATTATAACAAAAGTTGATAAGCATCTGGCAAGGGTGGCAGAGCTCAATAATGGAGATTCTCAGAGCACAACAAAGCCATTGTAGCAGGGGACAAGCAGGAATAGGGATTTTTGAAGGACAGTCAAGTCCCCAGGACAGGGAGAGGGAGTAAGAGGGAAGCTGAATCCTAGCCCTAGAGAATCCAAGGCAGGTCATCAAGGAAGACCTCAGGGCTCATTACAACAAGACTAAGTGCGAAAGCAAACCTGTTCCTCAGTTAGAAGGATTATACCAGCCAGCACAGGTGGATCACACAAGAGTCTTATTCGAATTCAAATTCTCAAATTTCTTAGATCACACAAGAGTCTTATTCAAATTCAAAATTCATCAAATTTCTCACGCCCAGAAATTCTGATTCTCTTGGTCTGAGGTGGAGGCTGGGCACTGGTATCTCTCTAAAAGCTCCCCAGGATTTCTAAATCTCAGCCAAGGCCAAAAAGTTCTGCAATAAGCAGAGATCTCTGAGAGGCAGGGTCTGCTCCTTAGAACCCACTGGATCCCAGCACCCAAATCTGGATTTGCCAGAGAGAAGGTGTTCAGGACATGTGGTCTGGATAAAGGGAGGAGCACTGCATGCATAAAGCAAAGGAAGTCACCAGCCAAGTGCTAGAATTGCAGCAAGGGCAGGGATAAGATTGGCCTTAGGCTGAGTCCCCTGGATGACTGACCAAGGGCTGCCTGCATCCTTCCTGACCGCGGATGTGATTGGCCCAGACCTTAAAAGTGAAGCTAGATAAAGCCTTATGTGGGAGCCCCAGGAAGGGGAGAGAGGGAGTGGAGATACAGGGGGTGTAACAGCCCATCACATCAGGGACACTGCGGTGAATCTCAAGCACACATTAATAACCGCTAAGCCTGATTGAAGATATCTCGTCTTTATTAAAGCATCCCACCTTTATATAAGTGACCCTCCTCCCTCCACCACTACAGATGGTGGTGACTTTCCATGAAAAAGGGGAGTGGTGGGGGGAGTGGGAGGAGTCATTATTAACAGATGTGAGGTTAATGAGGACCTTTGAAAGTGCAGGATGGCACCTCCTGCCTTCTGGCTCCCTCCATACCCCAACCATACTCCTACTATCAAAGTCTCTCTTCCTATCCCAAACCAGACTGCATCCCATTCTAAAGTGATGTAAGGTTCTCCCACATATCTATGCACTTCCCTAGAGGCAAAGCACTTCATGCCTTTAATGCTGTCTCTCTTGCTAACAACACCCCATCCCTGTGGTTCTAGGTGGACAGCAGATGGCTAATGAGAGAAAGCCTATGCATGGCCAGTGTGGGAAAACGTCTCAAGTAGAGTTTCAGCAAGGAGCCCAGGAGCCCAGGCTCCTGCCCCTACATCATGGCCATCAGAACAGCTAAGAATCAAGCAGGCTGGGTCCCTGAACTCTGCAGACCCTTCATTATAATGGAGAATCATATATTTGTTCGTTTCCTAAGGATTTTGTGCTTTGTATCTAACACTCTACCTTCTAAACTTCCCCTAAGTTATCTGTCTGTTCATATGCAATGGATGGGAAGCCTAGCTCTATGGGACTTCTCCCCGAGTGAAGGCAGGTCTCAGAATCCATCCTGAGTGGAGGGCGGCTCGAAGCTGGGGATCTGGGAAACAGAAGCAAGGGACCCTGTGTACCCAGCAGCAAAAGGAGAGCCTCGGGCCTCCACCTCTCTCTCCAAAAGGAACTCTGCTATGTGCATGAAGGCCCAGCTGTGGATGAGGTGTCTACACTAGGCACGGGCTAATTTAACGCAGCAGCCTCAGATGTGGGAGCTAATGAGGGGCAGGGGTAGGGAGTTAACAAGAAAGCAAGAATGAGCTCATTCCTGTGGAAAGGCTTTTTGCGACCACCAAGCCCTGTAGTTTTCAATTTTTTTTTTTTAAAGCAGTTGAACCTATTTGCATCCACAACTCTTAAATGAAACTCCAAGATGGAACTGTTCTGATTAAGGCAAGAGGAGGAAGTAGGAGCTGGGAATGGGCCCTTCCGCCGGGATGGGAAACCTGCTCACTCAGCCTACCTTCCAAATCCAAAAGTGCCTGAGGCACCTATGCAGACGTTTGGGGGGCCCTGGCTTTCGCTGGGAAGACCAACGATCCAAGCCAAACCCTTAATTTTACAGATGGTAAAGATGGGTGGTTTGTCCAGGATCCCCACGTTGTCAGTGGTGGCACCCGCACTAGAATTTAACCCCACTCCCAACCCAGGTCCTTCATGCCCCCCTCCTCCCAGCTGCCCCCCCCCCAGGCCGTGGGCCCCAAGAGTTCCCGAGGGGCTCTCAGACGGCGCTGCGGAAGGAGAACTGCAGGTAGATGATCAGCAGCAAGACCGTGGCCCAGAACAAGCACCAGGGGATGGAGCAGAAGTTGCAGCCAGAGCCGGCCTCGGCCTGCGGCTTGGCGGGGCTGGGCGCCCGGGAGAAGGTGTAGGTGGAGGCCTCCTCTTCCAGCAGCTTCTCGCTGGGCTTCCAGTGCACGATGCCCTCCTGGCAGGCCTCGCAGAACTCGCCGCGGTGGCGCCGCGCGTCCTGGCGGCCGGCCACGTGGATGCGGTACTGGCCGCCGCGCTCCCCGTAGCACTGCTCGCGCAGGCTGGTGATGAGGTTGTCCACCAGGCCCTCGATGTTCTCCTCCAGCATGCTCGACTCGTCCAGCCGCGCCGTGCCGCACTCGTAGCACAGCTGCTTGAACACGCGCATGCGCACCGAGCCCGCCCGCTGCGCGCGGTCCAGGTACATGTGGAAGAGGATGACCACGTGCGGCGACTGCCAGGTGTGCCAGCACCAGGAGCAGTGGAACCTGCGGGAGGGGCGGAGGCAAGAGGAAGGGACCGGGTGGAGATGGTGCAAACAGCCTCGGAAAGGCGGGGTCGGGTGCTTACGGGCGTCCTGAGCTCTCCCGGGGCGCCTGGCCGCTGTGCGCCTTCGCACCACGCCGGCGCGTCAAGGTGCACCCGGCACCCACCTCACCTGGGCTCTGCAGAGGCCTCAGCTTCCTCCAAACCAGTGCCCTCGGGCCTCGCCTTCAGGGCTTTGGCTCTGGGCATATTTCCCCATCTGCAAAATGTTCGCGGGGCACTAAATGAGTCCTTCCTGCTCAGACCTCCTTGAGGTCCCACAGCGCAGTTGGCCCGAACATTTGGGAAATGCGCCATCCATCCACACATCTTTCCTGCTAACGCTGACTGTGAGCAGGATAGACCCAAATCAGGAGAAAAATGACACTGTTAGTACTTCCCAGCCTCCAAATCAGTGCCCGACTTGATGCTTCCCAAGGCCTAGAATTGGAGGCAGTCTCTGGCCAGAGTGGGTGAGTGAGGTCAGCGGGGGACCACGTGTCACCTACGTGACTGGAGATGCCACAAGCCTTCCAGGTATCCAAGAAGCTCGGGGGCCCTGCCAGCAAATGCCCAGCTCTTGGTACCCCTCCCATCAACCAGGTTAGGGGCTTCATGTCCTCATTCTCTTCTCTTCTACTTACATCCTTTGAGGACTATTTTCCCTCCCTGAGATTGGACTATAAAACGTGCATTGGGGAATGTCAGAACTGGAGAGACCTTGGAAGTCACCTAATGAATGTTTTCTTTTACTCTCAGGCACAGAGAATGAGAAAATGATCCATGTACACACAGCTAGAGTCAGAGCCAGTACCCAGCACATACCAGGTGCCCAATAGATGTTTCTTGAATGGAATGGATCAAACCGGGGCGGGAAGGAAGGCCTTGCTTCTGACCCCCACACTGCCCCACAGAGCCTCCCCATCTCCTGTCCCAAAGGGAAGTCTTTACATAACAGGCCCACGGACAAGAATGCTGGAAAATCATCTCAGATATTGTACATCCGAATCACTGAGAGACAGGCTGAAATGCAGGTTCTGATTCTGTAGGTCTAGAATGGGGCTGGAGATTCTGCATCTTTCACAAGTTCTAGGTGATGCCGATGCTGCTGGTCCATGACCCACAAGGCAAGGACCTAGACCAACCCCTCCTTTTGCAAATGGGATAAGTGAGGTTCAAGAAGGAAACTGAATTGCTCAAGCTCTATGGCACTAATAGTAGAGCCAGTTTCTAGCACACCTCATGTGTTTAGTACTTTATATTAAGTCAGGCTGAATTAAATAGATTGACATTGAACTATCCCAGGACCAGAGCACAGAATTCAACCCCTGTTGACCTTGAGTGCCCCACCTTCTCTTGGTTTTCAACCATTTTAAGTTGTTAAAATCTGAAAAGATGTAAAATGTCAGAGTTTACAACTAATAAATATATCCCACCTCTTTGTCAGAAGCAGAAACTAAGATTCAGAGAGGGAAAGTTACCCAGGAGTTCAGTGGAAGAACTGGAATCAAACTCAGGTGTCCCATCTCCCAGGTAAGGACCCTTTCTCTGCCTCCCAGGCTACGCCAGCCCAGCAGTGAGACTGACCCTAAGCACCTGGGGTCTCCATACCTCTTCTCTTCTTGGAAGGTGCCCCAGAGCTGCCTGCAGGGCCCCTACTTACTGGGCTACTCACCTGCCAGAGGCATGCAATTCCAGGTACTGCTTCCAGCCAGGGGCCAGGACATTGTGTTTGAGGTTGGGATCTATGATGAGGTCCCAGCTGTCGGCCGGCTTGGCCTCCTCCATCTTCTCATAGAAGACTTTCTTCCATTCACCTGTGGTCACGCTTTTACACATGGTCTCGTCAGTGGCGAGGGAGGGCAAGCTCCACCTGAGCGAGAATACAGGGAGAGAGGGCAGGTGCAGGGTAGGGCAGCGCAGTCTCCACGGTCTAAAAATCCTCATCGACAGGACAAGGAGGAAGCAGGACCCAGCTCCCTCCTTTGTCCGCAGTGGAACCTGTTTCCACAGCAACCAGGCAGGGCGCCAAGAGACAGAGTGCGGGGAGGAGGGAGTCTCCAAAGGGGTGTTTCGGGGCCCTGAACCGAGGCTGTGGAGGCAGGGTTTGTGGCTAAGTGACCTGAGACAGGTGGGGGGCTTGAAAAAAGCCTGAGCTTCAGACCATCTCACTCTGGCCTGCGAAGGGCGCACAGAAGGAGGACCCAGGAGCTGGCTCAGCTTCACCTTGCTGCCCCTGGAGGCATCATCAGCATCTGGCTGCTATGGTAACCATGATGCCTTAGGGAGCCAAAGAGACATAAGGGATGGGAAAATGCGGACCTGTTAATAGATGCAGCAATAATAATAAACTCTCTGCACTCCCACTGATTTGTGACTGGCACTGTGCCATTCACAAAAACTATTGGAAGTCTTTTGACCCATGACTGTTATTGTCTCCGTACAGATCAGGAGACTGGTACTCATCTAGCTTATAAATGGCAGAGCTCGTATCTAAGTCCAAGCTATTGAGTCCATACTAATTCATTAAGTCATTCATATCAAATATACCCATGTGCCAGGCTCTAGGCCAGGTGGTTGTAACTGGATATGTACCCAATAACCAGAATGCAACGGGATCTGTGCTTTAACAACCTTGTCGGAACAGCCACCTGTGCACAAGGTGGGAGCCATTGCATCAGCCTGGCAGGAGCAGAAAAGAGGATTTTCAACTTGATTACAGAAGAGGAGGGCAATATCCATGGGGAAAACAGACTTTATTCTAGATGCCTCTTCTGCTACTTTTTAATAAATTATTTTTCCTTTATGAAAGTCATACAGGTTTGGGGTTCCAGGGTGGCTCAGTGGGTTAAGCATCTGCCTTCAGCTCAGGCCATGATCACAGGGTCAGGGATGAAGGACCCTGCTCCACGGGAAGTTTGCTTCTCCCTCTCCCTCTGCTCCTCCCCCTCACTCATGTTCTCTCTTGCTATCTTCCTCAAATAAACAAATAAGTTCTTCCAAAAAAAAAGAAAGAAAGAAAGAAAGAAAGAAAGAAGAAAGAAAGAAAGAAAGAAAGAAAGAAAGAAAGCTATACGTATTTATTTAGAAAAATTGGAAAATAGAAATAAAACAGAGCAAAAGTAATACTCTTCCTAATACCCATGCTCAAAATAATCACTAGTACTATGATATATGCACCCTGACTGCCACTAATCTGTACATGTGTATTGTGTATACACACATATACATATATAATATACATACACACACATACCCCCACTGTAATCTGTTTTTAAAAAATACATATATCATTAATATTTTTAGGAAAATAATATTATTCCATCTTATAGGCTGCCTATATTCTTTGATCTGGTTGGGCATAATTTATTTAACTAATCCTCTACTTTGGGGTACTATAGGTTTTTTTCAGTCTTTTATAATTTCACTCTTGCCACCTATTTGTATAAAACTTACTGATGAAGCTCATGGTCCTGCATTCTAGGTATCAGAGATGATGCCTCCTGCATTTGGTAAACACATCTCCTGACTACGCTCTCCACAGAAGCTTAGTGCGGCTAGAAGAATCTGAGCAGGCTCTTCAGTGTGACTTATGAATCAGATAAGCCTGCAGATCCTGAAATGTACAGATGAAAAAGCAAGCCTAAATCTCCCATCTGGTGCTGGAGACCATCTTCCAAGTGCTCCTCCTGCTTCTGCATGAATGCTTGATGCCTTGAAGTAGTTCCTTTTAGCCTCAGTTTATTTATCTTGACAATGGGATAATGAGGAAGCAGCAATATCTGTAGTGATAAAAGCAAGGGCTCTGAAATCACTTGCTTGGGTTTTGTTCTTATGCGCTTTTGTAGTTCTCTTATATTCTCATAAGTAGCTATTCTAATATATTTAATGTGTATCATTTCATTCTGGCAAAATAAGTGTTGATATTTTATGTAAATATATTTTTAATTTGCGTAGAAACAGCAATCATTATATACCACTTACTCTAGGTATCAGGCATTATCCTAAGTGCTTTATACATATTAATTTATTTCATCCTAATAACGACCTCTGTAGGTACCTAACAGCAGCAGCAGCTCCATTTTGCAAATATGTAAGCTAAAGCAGAGAGGTTAGATAACTTGCCCAAAATTCAACAGCTAATAATTAGTAGAACTGGGATTTGAGTCCATATGACAGTCTCCAAAGCCCCAACTTTGATCAGCTTTGCTGATCATGGAATCTAGAACAAAATACTTGCCAAATAAATGTCTTTCTACCTTCTCATCACTCGATATGGCCATTCCAGACTCTGAGAAATGACATTCACATCCTTCCAGCAAATGCTTCCCTAGGCCCTACTGAGGCCACAACCCCAGGAAGAGAAGTGAGTAGTACTGACCTGCCAGGCTCCCTGTTACTATTGCAGGTGCCACTCTGCTGCTGAACTTAATGGAGCAGCAGTGTCCACAGATCCCTGATGCTCAGTGTCAATATTTTAAAGCTGGAAGATAAATTCATCTTGAGGGGCACCTGGGTGGCTCAGTGCTTGAGCACCTGCCTTCAGCTCAGGGCATGATCCCGGGTCCAGGGATGGAGTCCCACATCAGGGCTCCCCACAGGGAGCCTGCTTCTCTGTCTACCAGTGTCTCTGCTTCTCTCTCAGTGTCTCTAATGAATAAATAAATAAAATCTTCTTTCAAAAAAAGATATTCATCTTGAAATCATGCCAAAGAAGATATAGTGCATAAAGCTATCTCTGTGCATGCCACTCCTGTGAAGCTATGATCATTTGATGACAGGTACCCAGGTTTGGTGGAAAGAGCGCAGAACTGAAAGTCAGGATATAGAAATATATATCCAAGTTTTGCTACTGGATGGCTTTGTTTCCTTGGACAAGTCGCATCTCTTGGCCTCAGTTTGTGCTTTTATTCAGTGGAGCATTAGAGTAGATGGCAACACTAAGGTCCCCTGCGACTATAGCCATTTATGGTTCCAAAGACATTTATAGCTAGGAATCTGAATCCTGGGGCACCTGGGGGCTCAGTCAGTTATCTATCTGCCTTCCACTCAGGTAATTATCTCCAGTCCAGGGATCAAGCCCCCATCAGGCTCCCCCTTCCCCGCCACCACTCCCCTTGCTTGTATGCTCGCTCTCTCTCTCAAATAAATAATAAAATCTTGAAGAAGAAGAAGAAGAAGAAGAAGAAGAAGAAGAAGAAGGAAGAAGAAGGAGAAGGAAGAAGAAGAAGAAGAAGAAGAAGAAGAAGAAGAAGAAGAAGAAGAGAAGAAGAAGAAGAAGAAGAAGAAGAAGAAGAAGAAGAAGAAGAAGAAGAAGAGAAGAAGAAGAAGAAGAAGAAGAAGAAGAAGAAGAAGAAGAAGAAGAAGAAGAAGAAGAAGAAGAAGAAGAAGAAGAAGAGAAGAAGAAGAAGAAGAAGAAGAAGAAAGAAGAAGAAGAAGAAGAAGAAGAAGAAGAAGAAGAAGAAGAAGAAGAAGAAGAAGAAGAAGAAGAAGAAGAAGAAGAAATCTGAATCCTTGGAAGGAGAAGAGGTAAGATAGAGGTCATTGGTTGGAGGAGGGAAGCTCTTAATGAGGCATTGTGGGTAGTGTCTGGAGTCAGGGTCTGTTTCCTTAGGGGCCACTACATAGCTGAAGAATGCTGGAGAGCTGTCACTGCACTAGTTTTGTACTGGACACAGTAAGAAGGGCAGAAATTAAATCAGAGCCACTGAACGTTAACACAGGAAATGATTTTTAAATTCATTAAACTTTTTATCCTTCAAGTGTGTATTCTTGCCTCTGAATTAAGGCATCAATACTCAGAGAAGTAAACAGATTTAACCAATCTTGGAGGCATATTGGGAGCTATCTCCGAAGGTATGTGAAGCTGAGAAAAGCTTATAAACCTTGCCCTGGAACCAAAGCATATACCCAATACCAGGAATGAATTCTCCAGAAGTATTTTGCAGGTGTTGCTACAATAAACATCATGATGAAAAACAAGAACACAGAAGGTAAGAATCACCCGAGTTGTGTGTGTGTGTGTGTGTGTGTGTGTGTGTGTGCATGTGCCCATGTGTGTATGTAACCAGCTGATGCAATCCCCATTGGCACAAATTAAGTTTAATTTAGAACTTGAGCTTGCTATGAAGAGGCCAGTATAATATATCCTTCTGTATCGCAGAATGCTTTCTCTAATAAAATAATATTTCTGTTGAGACCAATAACCCTATGGTCTTTACCAAATGACCTCACTGGGAGGTCTTCCTGGGCACCGCCATCAGAAACTACATTTTTTAGTTTCTTTTTTTTTTTTTTTTTTTTTAAATTTTTATTTATTTATGAGAGTCACACACAGGGAGAGAGAGAGAGAGAGGCAGAGACACAGGGAGAGGGAGAAGCAGGCTCCATGCACCGGGAGCCCAACGTGGGATTCGATCCCGGGTCTCCAGGATCGCGCCCTGGGCCAAAGGCAGGCGCCAAACCGCTGCGCCACCCAGGGATCCCCATTTTTTAGTTTCTAGGAGCAATGCCCCCGCTCCAGGAGCCAGAGAAGCCCCACCAGAAGCGAGATGGCTTTCACACCAGGTAGAAGGCCAAGGGGCTTTATCTGCATGCCCTTGGGGGCAGGTGCAGAAGGCCCAAGAGCAGGAACACTGCAGCCCAGAACTGGCCAAGTCTGCACCAGAGTGAGCTCATGGGTCATAGTGACCCACACTTCCTCTTACATGGCAGCCACCCATGCCTGGCTAGTCTTAGGGCTTTGGCATCCATAGACTTTTCAGTTTAGGGGAAACCTTTACTGTTTCCTGCAGATTCTTTGCCATTCTTTGACTGAACTGCATTTCAGACAGCTGGGACCCGTGCTTCTGAAAGCAATGGGCATCTGGTATGATGCGGTGCCACACATATATCCACATCTTAGTTGTAAATATGATATTCAGTACATATCTACATACAGAAACTCT